GTCGCTGGCGCTGTAATTCGTCCTCATCTACAGTGGTGGAGGCGCCCGTCTTCTGGCCGTGCACTCTGTCCGCCCCGTGGCTTCGAGTGTTCTGGGAGTCAGGTCCGCGCGTTCTAACCAGCTCTGGCAGTGCCCGCACTTCCCTGGCTCTGGTCCCCCGCTTGACTCTTGGATGCTGGTGCTCGCAGGAGTGGTTCAGCCTTCTGGCGCGGCCCCCTGGCGTGGCCCATGGCGGTCTGCATCCCATTCCTCTGGCGCCCGGTGGCGACAAGGTAATTCCTGTGCCTGGTGATCTCGCTCCCATGGTACTTGCACGTTGCAACTTCCCAGCCGCCTTCGCAGCTGGCAGTTTCCACCCCTCGGCGCAGCCAAGCCCCAGCGCAGCTCCCCTCGGCGGTAGGATTTGTCTGCTTGCTCCGCAAGCGCGCCGGAAATTTGGAGGCTCGCGGCCCGTGTTACCTTCCTGACGCTTTTGGCGCGCTCGCCTTTTGCGGCGAAAAAGATAACTTCACCAGCCCATCCAAACACGATGCCCAGGCGATTTGCGCTTGTCAGGGATGTGAAGGAGCATGCAGTGGAGTACGGGGTTGGGGGACCGTCATACCCCAAGGAAGGGGGATGCATGACGAATTGGAGGAGGTGGAGGACGGAACCGCGGGGAGGGCGGAGGAGGAGGCGGAACGGGCAGAGGATGAGAAGACGGCGGAGGAAAAAAAATTAAAAACAGGGGAGGGGGACAAGGAAGAGGAGGAGGAGGAGGAGGAAGAAATCCAGTGCAAACGCAAGGTCCATCAGCGATGTTGCAATGAGCCCTTCCTCCCAGTTCCCTTTTCCACAGGTCCCGGTAAGGGTTCGTCTTCAATGAGGGAAGTGCCCCGTTTGAAGACAACCGCTTGGGAATCCTGGACCGTGCCAGAACATCATTTCTAGGATTGCTGCGCCGCGAAGCAACGTTTCTGTTGCACCCTGCCGATCTTGGATCGTGCCAGAGTGCCATTCCTGGGACCTCATCACAGCGAATCAACATGACGGTTGCGCTCTGGCAGTCCTACAGCGTGCCAACACACCATCTCTGCGGCGTCGGCCATAGGAATCCTTGAGCTTGCTGTCGCTCTTAGGACGACTGTGCGCGGCGCGAAAACGACAGCCACAATTTGAAAATGTGCCACCCTCCATCCGTGAATCTTACACCCTTTCAGACGAAAGTGCGCGCGTTGCGAAGGCGAGAGTCACATTTTGAACTTGGCATTGCCCGGACGTGTGCATTTTTTCCTTCGGCGAGGACCATCGAGGAGCATCCTTGAACATGTGGCGGAAAAACTCACGAAACCGAGAAAAACAGAGGGAATGGACTTCCGAGCGATGGCCAGTGAACACCGCATGCTTTCCATCCGTGAAGCTCCTGGGAAAGTGTTCGCGGCGCTGAAGACGTGCCACATTCCGAAAATTGCCCGCCCTCCACTTGGCATCGCTCGGACGTGTGCATGTTTCCTTCGGCGAGGACCATCGAGGAACATCCTTGATCATTTGGCGGCAAAAACACGCACGGAACCAAAAAAACACATGGAATGGACGTCCGAGCGATGGCGGGAACGTGCCACATTTCGAAAATTGCCCGCCCTCCATTCGTGCCAATTGTACCAACCGTTAAGACGCATGTGCGCGGCGCCACGGCGAGGGCGGCATCTTGAAACGGCGCCGGCCTCCACCTATGAAGCTCCTGCAAACTGTTAAGACCGTTGTGCGCGGCGCCGAGGCGAGAGCCACAATCCCCTTCAGTTTTCCGCTAGATGGGGCCTACAAAAGATCATATATTCCCTTCACCGGAATCTCACCACCCACCAAACCACTCCAACCCAACCCGAAGGCTCAGATTTACCCTCGATTTCCAGTGGGGGGGTGTCGGGGAACATCGAAAAAACACATGTGTAACCTTTACCCCCCCAAACCCGAAATTCGGGTCTTGGGGTTGGGTTGGAGTGGTCTGGTAGGTAGTCAGAATCTGCACAGGGGGTGCTGGGGGGGAGGCATCTCACTGGTTTGGCGGCGGTCCTGAATCGACTTGCTATAGTGTTGGGCTTCGACTTCGGCCCTCGCAGGTCCAGAAATCAGACTCGCTCTGATGTTGTGGCTGATTCGGTCCAGCAATGCGGCTCACTGTGGTGTTCGGGTTCGAAGTCAGCCCCTCAGAAAACAAAACAGCAATATGGTGCTCCTGCGCGATTTGGTCCAGGCATGAGGCTCACAACGGTGTTCTGGCTCGATCTCAACTCAAGGATTCCTCTCACCAGAATTTCCACAGGGGATGCGCGGGCTCTGGGCTTATCTCGGCCCTCGCAGATCCAGAAATGAGACCCATGATGGTGTTTTGGCTCGACCTCAGTTGTCGCAGGTCCAGACGTTGTGGCAGATCATCGGGTTCTCGCCGTTCCACCTGTCCTGTTCTGGCTCCATTCCACCTCTCGCCAATCCATAAAGGGGGGCTCGCTATGCTGTTCTGGCTTTCTTCCACCATCGCATGTCCAGAAAGTATCCCAGGGACATTGGATTCGCACCGTTCCAGCTGTCCTAGGTCCACCAATGTTGGCAGGGCCATCGATTTTTGATCATTGTCGCTGCAATACGTCCAGTAAGTTCGGGAGGGGCCAGGGATTCATGGTTCCAGCTGTCCTAGGTCCAGAACGTGTGGCAGGGGCATCGGGTTCTCACCATTCCAGCAGTCCTAGGTCCAGAGCGTGTGGCAGAGGCATAGGAATCTCCCCGTTCCAGTTGTCCTAGGCCCCGGAAGGGTGGCAGGTGCATCGGATCCATATCTTGTCAGCTGTCCTCGGTCCAGAAAGTGCGGCATGGCCGTTGGATTCTCACTATTCTTTTAGTTTCCCTCCGTCCAGGAACTGTGGCAGAGATATCGGATTTTCATCGTTCCAGATGTGCTGGGTCCATCACGCGATCCGTCTCAGGATCGATATCAGTGCAGGGCGGCGCCGGGGAGGGGGAGGAGGAGGCTTGAAGGAGTGGGAGGAGGCGGAGTAGGAGGAGGAGGAGGTGGAGGAGGAGGACGCGGAGGAGGAGGAGGAAAAGGAGGAGGAGGAGCAGGAGGAGGCGGAGGAGGCGTAAGAGGAGGAGGGGGGAGGCGAAGGAGGAGGAGCCTGAGAAGGAGGAGGAGGAGGAGGACGAAGAAGAGGAGGAGGACGAGGAGGAGGAGGAGAGAAAGGAAAACATGAAGGAGGACACCGCGGCACGGAGTACAAGGATTGGGCAGAACCTCATTTATGTTCGAGCCCTCCTAAGGAAGAGGGGGAGGAACGGGAGGAGGAGGAGGAGGAGGAGGAGGAGGAGGAGAAGGAGGAGGAGGAGGAGGAGAAAGAGAAGGAGGAGGGGGGGATCGAGGAGGAGGAGGAAGAGGATTGGAAGTGGGAAGTGGAAAGGGAATAAGTTTCTCTTTCCGTATCGTCTGGTCGTTGTCTTGCTCTTATTTCGGCATCCTACTCGTGCAGGAGCAGGGTCTGTCAGTCCTCGCTGCTGTTCCAAGCGCGCTCAGGTCACCATGTCGACATCACGCGCATTGCCCTCATCAGCGCGTTCAATCCCGCAATCGTACAAACAGTATGGCGAGGTCGTCATCGCAAACCGACGTTTCATGCGTCCATCCGCCAAGGGGGTGTTTTGCTGATTTGTTTTTGAAACCAAGGCCCCGTCTTCCCCATGTGACGCCGCTGTAGTCTTAACGCGGCATGGTCATACATGGTGAGGAACTATCAGGCGACATGCCCAGCCCACCTCTCCGACACGTCTTGGGGTTCCGCAGGGACGGGTTCCCATGTTGAGCAAAATGGCCAGAGGTCTCTTAGATACCTCCCAGGATCTCTCCAGATGTCTTCTTCGGGGGTGGGAAAGAGGGGGGGGTGATGACTAGGGGGGGTGGATATCATGGCGTGGGCCATGATATTTTCCCAGATTTCATGGCACCTCTTCTTCTTTCATTACGTCCCTGGCCCCCCCCGCTGGGCCGCGCACACGCCGCCGGTCATGATTTGCACCCCCCCCTCTTGGACACCCCCCTTTTGGCCGCTCCCGACTTCTGCGAGCTTCTTGGCCTCCTCTTGGGGCATCTTGGGGGGCGTCTTTGGGGTCCTGGGGGCCTCCTGGGGCGTCTTGGTTGCTTCGGGGGAGCCTCTTCGGCCTCTTGGGGGCTGGATGGGGCCTTTTTGGGCCTCCTGGGCGCCTCGGAGCCATGTTGGGGCACTCTTGGGATCGTTGGGGGCCATCGTGGGGCCATCTTGGAGGAGTTCGATCAAATAATGGGAGGTACCATATTCGTGCCCCCCCCAGGAAGCCTAAGCTGGCCCAAACCTTCTTGTAAATTCAGTGATTTATCGCCGAGGCCATCTGGGAGTCACGAAAGCCGTTGTGCAGCTCCAGGGGAGGGGGTGGGGGAGGTGTTGGCCCCTCCCCGAAATGGAAAAATTGGGGTTGGAAGAGGAAATGCTCTAAATCACTCGCGCCCTTCATGGCTAGTGGGATCCACCTTCATCTTGGACGCCGTCTGGAAGCCGCCCTGCGGCCAGGAGAAGGGATCGACCGCAGCCGGGCGGCGAAGTACCAGAGGTTTCGGGGGGGGCCCGGGTCGGGGCTCGAGAGACGGGGGTCGATGCAGGGATCAGCCAGGGCACCGGATCTTGCAGGATCCTGCGACGAACCCCTCTGGCTGACCCGGGTTAGCGAGTCGCTCGTGGCTGCGAGGCGGCCGCGCCTATTGGCTGACCCCAGTTTGCGAAGACCTGCGTTGCAGTTTTTTTCCTGCATTGCAGTTTTTGGTTTCCTGCTGGCCCTGGTCTGGACTGACCCGGGTCAGAAGATCCCCGGCTGGGGGGGGCGCCGAAGCCTCGAAAACAGCTCTCAAGCTTGCATCCCGCGCGTCGCTCAGCCTGGTGGGCGGGTGGGTTCAACAGGCGTGCGCCGTTCCGCCGACCCCCAGATGAGGTGAGAGATCCATGAGGGCCGCTGGATTTAGGTACGAACTCCAGTGGCTGCACAGCTACAGCTCTTCTGCTCCAGCTTTGCGACGGGTCGCTGCGCCCCCCCTGGAGGCCAATACCCTCGCGATTTCCCGAAGTCTTCCCCGAGATGGCGGTGAAAAACATGCCGGGAAGGGGATTGAATCGTAGACGGGGTTGGGCGGGGTCCGCGGCGCGGAGAGGTCAGAAGCCAATTCTTTCGACTTTGGACTGGGCCTCACGAGAGAATCGTCGTTGTTGTTGTCGCCATCGTCCTAGTTGTCGTTGTCGCGGGTCCTCTTCATAGTTTACATGTCCTTTTCTGTTCTCGCGTTGGGGCCATGTTGGAGGGTTGGCTTCAAGCGGCGAGGCGGTGGTGCATTGTCGGGGGACCCTCTGGCGCCGTCTTTGGTGCCTTGTTGGCCTCTTTTGGTGCGGTATGGTTGGCCTTTATCCCAGACGCTTGCAAACGGAAAGTTCGAGACATCATTGAACACACGTGGGGTGTTTCAGTGATTTGGGGCGTTTTTGCTTGACTCCCAGGGCTTCCAAGACGACCCAAGAGACCCCGAAGGCCCGCAGGTGGCTCCAGGATGCGCATGTGGAGACATGTGAAGGCATGTCGCTTCCACTGCCTCGTGAGAGGCCACGTGGCAACTCCCAGAATGCGCCCATGAACTCGAGGAATGGGGCGTCTGGGGCACTGGGCAGCATTCACATCATTCAGCACAGAGAACCTGACGGACCTGAGGACCTTCCAATCAGTACAGTCGACCCGCATTGTAAGGATGGGCATCCTTTCCAAGGGTACCTTGTATCCTTGCCTCCTCGGTCCATCCTTGGCCACTTTCGTTGGCCGCGCCTCGCTCGAAAAGATTCGAAATGGAAGTCCAAGGCCATTACATGCTTATCTCGCATCTTTATGATACGGGCCGACTTCAGCGTCGCGTCGAAACAATGGCGACCTGGACGTTCGGCGCTCATCGGAAAGCCGTCGATCGCTCGCGGCTGAGCGATCCAAACGGCGTCAGAACCAGCGCAGAAATCGTTGCCACAATATTTGTCCGTGTGTGCAGTGGAGACGCATGCCAAGAATCATCCTGCTTGCCTCCAGGGTTTCTTAGGTTTCGATGGTTCTGCTCTGCAAGGCGTGACGTTCGCCCGCCAAACATCGATGGACGTCCTGGGGTCTCAGGGTTGGGTTCCTTGTGGAAGGTTTCTTGTAGTCGAGCCTACTGTACACCTTCTGCCCAGCTATGGCAATGTGTCTCCTGAGTCTCGTCCTTCCCGCCAGGAGTTTGCGGCAGGCCAGGCGGTCCGACTCGGCTGCGACCACGGGTGGTATTGCAAGGACTGCTGTCGAGTTTTCGAGCTTCGGAATGAAGTGTACGAGCAAGGTTCAACAACGATTGGAAGGGAACGGGTGGGGGGGATGCGAGGGAGGAGAACAAGGAGGAGGGAGGGAAGGAGGAGCGGAAGATAAGTATTGTGCAGCTGCTTGCCACGACGACGATGATGATGCTGCTGATGATGATGCTGATGATGATGATGATGCTGCCGATGATGATGATACAGATGGTGATGATGGTGATGCCGATGATAATGATAAATATGGTGATGCTGGTGATGCTGGTCATGCGAATGATGATGTTAATGATGATGACGATTATGCTGAACACGATGCTGTCCAGGATGACGATGATGATGCTGATACTGTCCATGTCGGTGGTGATGACGACGATGATGATGATGATGATGATGATGATGATGTTCATGATGATGATGATGATGATGCTGATGCTGATGATGATGGTGATGCTGATTGTGGTAATGCTGATGCTGATGATGATGATGATGATGGTGGCGATGCTGATTATGATGATGACGATGCTGACGATAATGACGATGGTGATGATATTGGTAATGATGATGCTGCTGATGCTGGTGGTGATGGTGGTAGTGCTGATGCTGATAACGATCATGATAATGCTGCGGATGCTGATGATGATCATGAGTATGATGATGATGATGATGATGATGATGATGATGATGATGATGATGCTATTGCTGCTGCTGATGATGATGATGTTCATGATGATGATGATGATGATGATGATGATGATGATGATGATGATGATGGTGGTGATGATGGTGGTGGTGGTGATGATGATGCTATGCTGATGGTGATGATGATGGCGATTCTGATGACGGTGATGATGCTGATGATGGCGGTGCCGACGACGACGACAATCAAAGGCAGCAGCTTTGAACGGGGATTCCCCGCTGCAATGTCCCGGCGGGGATCCGCGGGCAGCGCCCGACCGCCGCGAGCAGGAACTCCACCTACACGTCCATCTCGTCTTCCTCCTCCTCCTTCTAATCCTCCTCATCCTCATCCTTCCTATTTTGCTGGTGCTGTTCCGCCACCACCTTGTCCAACCCCCGCCTCCAATTTGCCTTCTTTCTCCTCGGCGTTCTCCTCCTACTCTAGGCCCCCAGTCGCCCCATCGTGCCATTGGTTTTCTTCCACCATTGGCGCATGTTCCTGCGCTTTCTAATGCACTCGGGCCGGGCGAAAAGGGGGGATTGGGAGAGGGGGGGGGACGAAATTTGCTGCGTGCAGCTGCTTCGGCCTCACCGAGGGGCCCATTCTTCGATACATGACCGCTTCCGGCGCCGGGAGGCGCCGGGAAAATCAGCAACGTGAGCTGATTCTCAACCCCCCCTTTGCTATGCCCCCCTTTCGCCCGACCCGATGCGCGTCCACCCCCGCATCACCCTCCCCAGCATCCTCCTCTCCTCCTCCTGGCCATCTTGCCCGTCTTGCACGGTGGCTCGCGCAAGCCGTTCGCACGGCAGGCCGAGCGAGCAAGAGTCGGGAGGGGAAAAAAAACACACAGACACAGTTAATCGTCGATCCCGAAGAAACTATAGGAAAATATGGGAAGTGGTGGGGAAGACAAAAACCCAGAAAATATGGGAACATATGGGGAATCCTTTTATTTGTGTGTATCTATTTGTGTGTCCCAGGGCCTCTTCCAAGAGGACGTTGACGTTGATGCTCCATTTCGGCGGGCTTCAGAAGGACCGCAAGTGAGCGCACAAAGAAAAGGTGCGCGGCAGCTCAGCCCAGGCGCCCGCACGGCAGACCGCGTGAACAACAGGGCGATCACGCGCCGTCTCCCGCGGGCATCTCATGCGGGAGCGGCCGCGCAATCCGTCTCCCTTGGACTTGTGCCCGTCCGCCCCCTCCCCCGACTCCTGATCCGCGAGTGGCTGCGCAAACGGCCCCCCGTTGGGCTTACGGTTGCGTTGCGGGTGCGGTTGCGCGCGCCCGCGGGCGGGTTGGAGTGTGTCGCCTGGGTGCGGTTTCATTTGCAGTTGCGCGCACCCGCGCGGGTTGGACTGTATCGCTTGGTTGCGGTCGCCGTTTCCCGCGCCCGCGGGCGGGTTGTAATGTGTCACCCAGTTTCGGTTGCGGGTTCGCGCGCCCGCGGGCGGGTTGAAATGTGTCGATTGGTTGCGGTGCTCGCGGTTGCGGTTGAGGTTTCCCGCGCCTGTGGGCGGGTTGAAAGGTGTCGCCCCGTTGCGGTTGCGCACCGCGGGCGGGCTGTAATGTGTCGCCCAGTTGCGAGTGCGATTGCAGTTGCGCCCTGTGGGCGGGGTGGACTGTCGCGCCCGGTTGCGCTTGCGGTTGCGTCTCGCGGGCGCGTTGCAATGTGTTACCCGGTCGCGAGTGCAGTTGCAGTTGCGCCCCGCGGGCGGGGTGGATTGTGGCGCCCGGTTGCGGTCGCGGTTGCGCCCCGCGGGGGGTTGGAGATGTGTTGTCAGAAGTGTTTGTCCAGTTCAAGTCAATTCAGTTCTGTCCAGTCCAGTTCCTTTCAGTTCAATCCGGTGGGCACGGAGTTTCACCCGGCTCCGCCGGGAACGACGACGATGATGATGTTGATGATAGTGAGGATGACGAGGATCAGTATAAGGGTGATGATGGCGATGGCGTGGACGATGATGTTGGTGATGGCGATGGTGACGTTGATGGTGATGGTGGTGGGGAGGGTGGTGCTGATGATGATGGCGATTGTGATGATTGTGAGTGTGATGATGAGTATGATGTTGATTATGGTGCTGAAAGTTTTGTTGATTGATGGTGATGACGCGTAGGATTATTATGACAATGGCGGAGAACGGGGGTGAGGGTGATGATGATGAGGCAGAAGAGGAATATGAGGCAGCAGAGGAACAATGATGAATGGGAGGGGGAGCGAGTTGATGTTACGGAATTCTGTTCATAGTCGAAAGTGGAGTTGATATTGATGTTCGACCTTTGGCTTACCCTTGTTTAGTTGGGCCATATACCAAGATCGTAGATTCACGGATCGTGTGGAAAGGCTACTCTTGAAGAAGCGTGAGTTGGAAAGAGGGTGACCCAGCCTCCCACTTCCTGATTTCAGCCTCGCCCTTCCTCGCCCTCTTCTCGCTGTTCCTTCCGTCTCGTCCCTCCCCTCCCTCCACAGCGGACGCTGCCGAAGATCGGCCAGAGGTCGCCGGAGCCCTCTCATGGGCTCACAACGGGGGGAGGGGGCCAGGGTAGACGCCGTTCCTCGGCGTCCCGCGCGCGAGCAGCCGCATGCAGGCGGCAGGGTGCCCCCTCGGCCACCGCGGCCATGTTCTCGCCAACCTTTACCAGCCTCGAAGGTATCCCTATCCCCAAGATTGACACGCCGAAAGGCGATGACAATCTCAGGGATTCACCCTCAAAAGAAAAGGGAATCCCTAAGATTGGCATCGTGATGAGGAGGTGCCCAGCATAGGGATAGGGATATGTTCCAGGCTGGTAAAACCTCCCGACGAAAGCGGCCTCGTGCCGGGAACCCTCGAGCACTGGAGCACTCGGCCGATCGGCCCTCCGACCGGCCCGCCGCCCCGCGAGATCCGGGGGCGCGATTTTGGCTAGAGACCAGGGCGACGCAGAAACGACGTTCCAGGGGATGTTCGGACAATCTTCGCCACCTCACGTTCAGAGGAGGAACAAGGAGCGCATACGGCTGCACTTCCCTCGCTTTCCCCTCATTTGGCCTCCTGGGAGGCCCTCGTCGCTGTCGCTGGATTCGCCTCGACATTCTGATCAGAACGCGCCCCAGGAGAGGTCCGGGGAGTAGCGGTATCGGTATGTACTCTTTTGTCTCCCCAACGTGAGCGACGCTGAAACATGGGGTCGATTGGGAGGCCATTTTCGCGTAAGCTCCCCGAAGACTGCGCGTGGGCGCCTTCGCTTCCAATCTAGCATGCCGCGCTGGCGTCCCGCGTGAGCCGCAGCGTAAGGTCGCGATACCCTCTCGCGTGAGGCCTGTTTCATTTTGTCGCCCACATGGGCCCAGGGGACTTCTTGACCCCTTACCGCAGGCCAGCCCATACATCCGGCTTTTTTGGATGCGTGGACCCCCGAAGGTATGGACAATTTTCCCAGTGCCAGTTTTTCTCATGTGGAGTCGTTGTTCTTGACGGTCCCCAGGCCCATGCGGAGTCCCCGGAGGCCGAACATCGTTTTTTTTTTTTTTTTTTTTTTTTTTTTTTTTTCTTTTTTTTTTTTTGTCTCTCTCTCTCTCTCTCTCTCTACATATATATATATATATATAACGGGGGACTATATATACACATATAGATACGCACATCTAAATACATGCATATACAAATATATAAACGTTCTGAATCATTTATGGTTTTTATATATATATATATGTACATATACACCAGATGGCCGCTCCAAGTTCTTCAGCGCGTAGGATCTGTTGTTGAGGATGCATGCGTTCGATTCGACAGGATTCTGGCGGAAGGGCAGGACCTGCTCCAAAGTGTGCTGCGGCGACGTCCATGGCGGCTGTGACGACGGCGACGACGACGAGGACGACGAGGAGGATGACGACGACGACGACGACGACGACGGCGGCGGCGACGGCGACGGCGACGACGACGACGGCGGTCGAGGCGTTTTCCTCACGGGCCCGCGGTCCAGAACTCGGCGGCCTCCGGGCTCCGCCGCGCGGGTGGCGGGCGCCTCTGGCTGGGCCGCGGGGCGAGCCTCGACCGCGACCGAGAGATGCGGCGGCCGGCGGACGCGTCGGCGGACGCAGAGGCCCGGCGTGTTCGCACGATCGATGCGGCCGGTTCTCCGCCATTCTGATTCCCTTTCGCTCCTCCCTCCTCCCTTGCTCCTTCTCCAGGCCCAGTCTTCAAGGGAGGAAGGCATACCGATGCCGCCGATCGTCCCGAAGAGCCGTCGTCGCCACGGCTGGACTCTCCTGGAGGTTCTGGCCCGAACGCACCCCTGGAAGGGTCCGTGGAGCAGCGGTATGGGTATACCTTGTTGTTTCCCCAGATCTTCGTTCTCCCCCCCTGCCCTTCATGTTTCAAGCAGTGGCGAAGCTTCCTAGAACCTTTTTGTGGCCTGCACGAAATGTTAGAACATTTCTGGCTGGGGCAGTCTTGTTTGAACACATCGGGTTTATGTTCTAAGAACATTGTTTTTATTCTTGGAACATTTCTGGGTTCTAAGAACCTTTCTCGGTAGGCCTATAGATGCCGGGATGGTCGGTCCCTGCTCAAATGTTCCTCCTGTGCCTCTGCTTTCTTCCAGACGCAATCCGTTCCTCTCGAGCAGAGGGGGTCCCGAGTTGTTGGCGGCCAGCTTAGAAGTGGCTCTGCCCTCACGAGCCAAAACAGGCCATGCGATGGCTTTGTCCAACCTCGATTCTTTCCCCGCCACCCTCGCCCTGCCATCACGGCGACGCCATCATATTCAAGTGTTGCACCTTCTTCACCTTTCTCTCGCGGGAGCCATGGGAGTTCACGCCGTGGGTCCAGCCAGACCAGGATGCCGGACGTTCCCAACGCCCCCATGGGGGACGAGGCCGCAGGGGAGGAACACCACGGAGCCAACGTCATCAGCTACACAGCAGGTGCTGATACGCGAGAGAAACGACGCGGCAGCTAGGAGGTCTGCAGGCCAGCAGCGGCAGCGCTCACAGAGCGGAGCCGCTCGCTGCTGGCGATGACGGTCAGCATTGACACGCGTCACCAGCTACCACGCTGGAGTCGGCGCAGGAAAGAGAGACCCGTTTAAGCGTTGCAACTCTGCGAGATGTGGAAGGAGAACTCAGAGCCCGATCTCAGCAGTTTTCTATCGCTGGGATCAGGGCGTGCGAGAAAGGCGATCAGTGGCAGACGGCTCTGGGACCACTCTGCGACAAGCAGGGAGAGAAACTGGAGGCCGAAGTCGTTACCAGCAGCTTTGGGCACAGCGTGTGCGACAGGTGGGAGCAGCGGCAGCAGTTTCTGCCTCTACGCAGGACGGTGTGGACGGTGAAGCTAAAGCCAGGTGACACCAGCTGCAGCGCTGGGACCGGGGCGTGCGAGCAGGGCGGACAGCGGCAGGAGGCTCCGGCGCTGCTCCGCGAAAAGCGGGGGGCGAGCTCGGAACCCGAACGCGTCAACAACAGCGCCGAGGAGGGCGAGGGCGTGCGAGCCAACTCCATCGACACCGACGCTGGGAATCGTTCGGGCGAGACTTGCCGAGCGAACTTCATCGGCCACAGTGCTCGGAACACGTCGGGCGGGCGCGTGCCAGCCGGCATCAGCAGCGTCGGCGTTGGAGATCAGTCGCGCGAGAAGGGGCGCGCGGACATCGTCGGCTACGATTCTGGGAGCTGGCTGTGTCAGAAAGATACAAGCGGGAGGTACAGGGGCACGGGCCCAGCGTCATCAGCTGCACAGCTGGCCCCATCGTTGGCGCGAGCGGCGGACAGCGGCGGGTCAGCTCGTGCGAAGGAGGCTCATGAGTACGCGTGCGAAAGCGGCCGGCGCGGGAGAGGATCTTCGGCCACAGTGCCGGGATCAGCGAGTTCGTGCGAGCAAGCAAGCAGTGGAAGTGGGCGCTGTCGGTGTGAGAAAAGGCAGTGGCGGCAGGTGCTGACAGCCAGAGCAGAAAACAACAACGACCCAATTCAGTCAGAATAGGCCGGTTTCAGCAGCGGTGCCAGGGCGCGCGAGAAGGGCAGGCAGTGGCAGCAGGCGTGGGGGGAAGGACGCGAGCCCAACGCCATGAGTCACACAGCTGGGCCCATCGTTGAAGCCAGCGGAGGGCAGTGGCAGCTGACGCGATCAGCTACAGCGTTAGGACAAGCTCGTGCGGAGGTGGCGCAAGAGTGCGCGAGGAATGGGCACGGGAAGGCAGTGGAGCACACAACAGACAGCTGGCAGTGACAGCAGGTGCTCTGTTGCCAACGGGGGCCCGTGCGAGAAGGCAGGGAGTGGCATGAGCTGCAACGGTTCGAGCAGCTCCACTCCTGTGTGGGAAGGGGGCCCCTGTCTCAACGACAGCGCGGGGACTGCGAGTGCGAGGGGCTGGTGCCGAGGCACCAGCACTGCACGATGCGTTGGGGCACCTCCTGGCCGCCACCGTGGAGGGGGCGGCTTCGACCATTTATCGGCCCTTCTAAGGGCCAGAGGGCTTGGCCGTTTTGAGTCCGCCACGGGGTCGGGCGGCGTGGTGACATTCGGCCGCGAGATCTTCGGGGCGGCTCCTCACGGCGATTCGCCAGTCTTGATGGTGTCAGAAGCGGCCCAGGGCCCCCCCAAAAAATCCTCTGCCTCCTCCCCGCTGACTCACCGCTTCAGCTCGTCCTCCCAGCTCCTCCTACTTCTCCCATTCCGCTCCTCCCCCTCCTCCAGCCGTCGGAAAAATCCGACGCCCGCGCGTCTGTCGCCCCAGGACAGAGCGGGTGCGCCCACGATGCCGCGGACGCACAGCTGCTCCTGCACGAGATCTGCGCCCCAGCCATCGGGCGACCTGCAGGAAGTGCGGGCAATAGTTATATCCACATCCAGTGCGGTGGTTGCCCGTGCTGCCCCTCAGCGCAGGTGGCCGGGCCTTCCGTGGCGCGGGGGCTCGGACATGGCCCCCCTCCAGTGCTCAGCGTCTCGGCGCTGCGCCCTCGCAGGTTGCGTCTCCGCCGCGGCGGCCCTCTTCGACTCCCAGACAGAGGGGGGCTTTGGGCGGTGGCTCCGGGCGGTGCGCGAGACCAGCGGCGCTGCGCGCGAGGCGTCCCGCGAGCGGTGGGCGCAGCTCTTCCTGGTCCTCCCGCCATGGCGCGGGCGCCACGTGGCCGCGGGCGAGCTGGGCTGAGTACGGGCCTGGAGTGGGCATGGCCGCCCGGCGTGCATCCCTGTGGGCCGTCCCGGGCACGGACCTCAACAGGGAGGTCGTCCTCCTAGCGCACGGGGGCGCCGGCGGACATGGGCCAGGGCTCCCGTGGAGCTCTGCACCAGGTGGGACCTGCGGCGTGCTTCGCCACGCGGCGAGCCAGGACCGGGCAGGGACCCCAGGCGTCGAGCTCTGCGGGCTCCCGCTTGGATTTTGCCGCCCACGTTCTCGGCCGCGGTCGCCTGCGCAGGCCCTGGGAGGCTGTCGATGCGCCCCGGGCCCTGCTAGATTCCTGAAGAGGTTTCCTGCCCGGCTTCTCGTGGGGTCCTCCAGGTGCATGCCTCTGCGGGGCGGGCCGTGGTGGTGGCCCCAGAGCCGGCCTGAGCCTGTGGGTCCCACAGAGGCGTCCTCCTGGCCTGACTGGTGGTTCTGCCGTTCGAGGCATCCTCTGGGGGCCGGCCTGGGTCCGCGTTTCTCGGCAACCGTCCTGGGGCTACATGCTGGGGGTGGTCTCGCCAGGGTCGCCGCGAGGCCGACCGTCGTGGAGGCCCTCGGGTGCTCTTCCTGTCTGCCTTCCCTCTCTGGCCTCTCCGCGGTGGCCGGGGCTGGGCCAGGACAGTCAGTCGTGCTAAACAGGCCGTGCCCGCGGATTCACAAATAGATCCGAAAGGGTCCAACCAACCAACCAACCTCCCGCCCCCCTCCCTCTTCTCCTTCCCTCACCTTCTCATCTCCTCTCCTCCTCTGCTTCCCCTCCCCTCTCTCCCCTTCCCTCTTCTACCTCCCCGCTCCCTTCCCTCCCCTTCGCTCTTCTCCCTCCCCCTCCTCTACGTCCTCTTCTCTGCCCTGCCTCCCCTTTCTCAGAGATTCTTCGAGCCATGGGTCCCCGGATGACTCGGCCCGCTCCCCAAGGCAAGTTTTAAATTTTGAGTCGCCCCCAGGGCCAGAACGGCATGCTACTGTAAAGTCGGGCCTGGATATTCAAAAATAGTAAAAAATAGTCTGGAAACTATGTTGTGAGTATTTTGGGGCATCTTTTCAGCATTTGTTGCATATGTTTTGTTTTTCGTCCAACAAGCCCCTCCAGGGGGACAGGCCCGACCTAAGGCCACAACGGCATGCTACTTGCAGCGTTGTTCTTGCTCGACCCGCCAGATCTGCCGGTCGTCCTCACGCCGGGCTGGGGAGCCCCCCCCCCTCCCCAAGGCGGCGGGGCGCGAGCGGACATGTCCGTGCGTTTCGCGCACCGTGGGGCGCGGAGCGCGGCCTTGGCGGATCTGGATCCCCCCCCCGTCCCCCTCGCACGCACCACGGTCCGGGGGGGCGTCAAGGGGGGCGGTCGGGGCCTCATGGACCAGGAGTGTCAAAGGGGGCGTCAGGACTTCATGGACGGGGACCTCAAAGGGGGCGTCAAGGGGGCGGTCGGGACCAGGAGTGTGTGGATCTCATGGCTGGGGCCTGGTATCTCCCACGTGTCATGTGCCCGTGCTCCTTTTCCTGTGCGAGCTCTTCGGCACCGCCTGCGCCCCGGCCCGCCCTGCGGCCGCCCGAGGCCCCGCCCGCCTGTGCCCTGTCTCCCCACTTAGAGCTGTGCGTAGCCCGCCTAGCTTTTAACCGGAAGAGGTTCGCTCTCGCCCCGCCGACCAACAAGTTCTTCCAGACCGTCTTGTCTGGTGGCGTCCGCGCGCATGCTTCGGGCCATGGTGCGATACCCTCCCTCCTCCTGGCCTCCTCCTTTCCATTGCGTGATAATGATGATGCTCAGGATCAGCGATGGTGTTGGTGGTGATGGTGGTGGTGGTGAAGTTGATGATGGTGATGACGATGCTGATTGTGCTGATGGGGACTGTTGATGGTCGAGGTCCTCATCTTGCTTAGCCGATCGTGGACAAAGATGATGATGGCGTTGATGGAGCGATGCTGGTGGTGATGATAATCATGACGATGGCGATTGTGATGACCGAGGCGTCCTCCTCCTCCTCCTCCTCCTCCTCCTCCTCCTCCTCCTCCTCCTCCTCCTCCTCCTCCTCCTCCTCCTCCCCCCTCCCCCTCCCCTCCCCCCTCCGCCTCCGCCTCCTCCTCCTCCTCCTCCTCCTCGCCCGACACCACCGTGAAGTAGGGGACGCCTGGAGGCCCCCCTCCGCGCGCGCAGGAGTGCATCAGGAGGTTTGTCGAGGCGCGCCTGGAGGCCGGCAGCGCCGGCGGCATCCCGTGCCCGAGGACCCCGCCGGCGCTGCCGCTGCCGGCCCGCCGTCGGCGTCGTCGTCCGCGTCGTCGGCGTCGGAGGAGGAGGAGGCGGAGGAGGAGGCGGAGGAGGAGGAGGAGGAGGCGGAGGAGGAGGAGGAGGAGGAGGTATTTTGAGCGCAGTCGTCGTCGTCGTCGTCGTCGGCGTCGCCCGCGTCATTGCCGTCGCCGGCAGGAGGCACCTCAAGTAAGAAACCGACCTGCCAGCAGGTGTCCCCCAGAAGTTTCTTTTCTCCCCGATGGCCCTGGGGGCCCACGGGAGCCCCAGGGCGTGCCCTCATATTTCTCATAGTCAGATCTCTTGTCGTATGTGTCTGCATCGAAGAAGAAACAATAGCAATTCACATACTTTTGGCGCTCCGCGCGGATTTCTTGGATCTGCGCTGGGCCCCCTGGCGGCGCCTCGGGCGCCGCCCCTGGCGCGCCCTGGCGCGGATTCCAGATATCCGCGCGAAGCGCCACCAAAATTATGCTTGTGCCGTTTTTCCTTCTTCTAGTACTGTATGCTGGGCGCCGTCGTTGTCTTCGCCGTCACGTTTTCGTCGGCGTCGCTGACGTCGTCGGCGTCGGCGGCGGTGCGCTCAGGACACCAGCCGCGTCGCCGTCGGTGCCTGATGGTCTTCAGTTTTAACTGATGTTTTGATGTTTCCAGAGGTCTCCGAAGGGTTTCGAAGGTTTTCGCAAATTTCCCGAGGCTCTACGAGGCTCCCGGGGGCCCGGGTGTCGGCGTCGGCGTCGGCGTCGTTTTCGATTGTTTTGTTGGGAGGTCCGCGCTCGTTGTCGTATGCTCTCGGAAGCCCGAGGAGGTTCGATGATCGAGGTTCGAAGATCGTGGGTCGAGGAGGTTCGAAGGTCGAGGTGTCTGGGGCGTTGCTGGAGGTTCTGCAGGTTCTTCTCGCCGCTCTTGGACGCAGCTTGAAAGAGAGGCCAGCCCAAGGAGGAACCATGGGCTCGATTTTGAGCGGATTTGGGCGTCGGCGTCGCGTCGTCGTCGTCGGCGGTTCGTTTTTTAGGGGGCTCCAGCCCGCCTCGGGGGTCCCCATGTGTACCCCTTCGGGGC